CACCCCACCCCATGCAGAATCAGGGGGCACATTTCCCTCCCCCTGCCCTGTGCCATCCCAGGGTGCAAGCAGTGGCAGGAGCCGCCCCCCCCCCCACAAGCCATGCCTCTGCCTGCCCCCCCCGCCCTGCCTGGCAGCGTCTGTCCCTGCCCCCTCCCTCACTGCAGGGGTAATTGATCTACGCCCCCCCGGCCATGCTCCTTCCCTCCCCATTCCCTTTCCACACCAGACTGGAGGCAGGTGTATCAGAAATAGGATTGGTATCCGCCAATATGCCTCCTAAAATATCAGCTATTGATATTGGCCCCAAAAATCTCTATCAGTGTACCCCTACCAATCTCTATAATGCATTGTGGGGAAGCACAGCAAACTACTGGCTACTAAACTGCCATTCATTTTCGTGGCAGAAAAATGTTATTGAGGTCTGCTTTCAATGAATTCCTTCTGGAATTATTATCTCTCTCTGGGACAATGCTCCCTTTAAAGAAGCATGGGTATTTTGTATAAGTAAAATGCTTTTGCAGCTACAATGTACACTATATTTTACACAGGAACTTTGACAACATGTTAACTACATATCTCCATGGGACACTGCAAGTTTCCCTGTAAAAAACATGCCTCTTAGTTGTTACACCCTTTCGTGAACAGTGCAAAAACCTGGGTGAGAGGGGAGAGGAGTGGGCAGTAAACGAAAACAAGAACGACCAAAAAAGATGAAGGATGGAGACACTAGAACACAAGTAGAAGAACAGATTTTACAGAAAAATCCACCCTCTACCTGAACTAACAGTTCTTCTGCTCACAGGTATTCTACCTAACACCTTTATAAGATGAGCTTCAGAAATTCCTTAGCCAATAGGCTAATGACATTAAGTATTGTGGACTTGACAAAGAGAAATACAAAACTCGAAAACTCTTGGTTCAGATTAGATCAACTGAAAAACAGCAAATAAAAGTCTTGACAATGACTTCATGGTCCACTGTAATCAAATCTACCTGATACTCACTAACCTCTGCACTTCACAGGTGATAACAACCTTCCTGAACAATCTTGTTCCTCCTTATCTGGTTTTTACTGCATCTCTCCTGCTTATTGATAATTTCTTGTATATTCTGGTTTTATTTACATATGCAGTTTTATACAAGCTTTTGTTTCATCTGGTATTTAGCACTGCTAAGTCTGTTTCTCTCTCAGAAGTCGGAGAAGGGTACTATGATACCCAAAAGCTTATTGAGATCTAAGCCCAACCATAAGATTGGTACAATAAAGGATGTCACCCACAAGAATTCTTACCCCTCACACATTTCCTGGAGCATCACAGCAACTCCATCACCTCAAAACTACCAATTATGAAATGTCATTTTAGTTACCTTCCTTACTTGAATCTAAGATGACCCTGAATGTAAGATGATTCCACGATAATAAGATCCAATGCATGGAAATGTATAAATTTTATAATTTATGGCAGGTGGTTTGGGTAAGTCAAACTGCTAGTGCCTGCTCCCCTGCCACCTCCACGCCCTCTGTCTCCTGCCTGCCCACCCACCGCAACCTCAGCACCCCCCTTCCCCTTCCACTTCTACTATCCCTTCTCACCTCCAGCCTCTGCTCCCCCAGTCCCTCCCAGCCTCTCCTCCAAGCTGGCAGGCTTTGTCCATTCTAGCCTGGGGCACTAAGCATGGCCCCAGTCCAGCTGCCACATGCACCACTGCTTCAGGGCTAGGCTGAGGGTGTGCTCACTGTCCCAGGCTGCAGTGTTGACAGAGCCTGCTGGCACAGAGCAAGGGTAAGAGGTAGGTGGGGCGATCTGAGGCTGTGTTGGGGGGAGTGGAGATGGGAGAAGAAGCTGCAGGGTAGAGACAGTGGGGTGCAGTGGCAGCCAGGGAAATGAGGGGGGAGACAGGAAGTAGCTCTGGCTGTGGCCCCAACCCTGGGTAGGGGCTGGGGCCTAAGCCAGAGCAGCCACCTGTCCCTACCCACCATGCAATTCTGAGATGAGGGCTTTCCCATTTTAAATGGAGGGAGGAACCTTATCTTAGAGCCAAGTAAATATAGTAATTTCATCACAACTCAGGTCAACTCTAATGGTAATAAATGTTCAGATATTGGTCATGTGGTAAGATGCATTTACTGTTCACAGTATATTTAAATATAATAGAGATTAAAAGTACATAATACAAATTTGGCACAGGATTAAACAGTTTCACATGTACAGATATGTGGATATTGTTATGTTTTACACAATATTTAAAGTACTTCACTCAAGCATCTGTAATTTTTGCAACACTGAACTTCTCCCCACTGCCACTGTAAAGCTGCCACTGTTTGTTTCATTTGTAAAGTGATTGCATACTGCTAGCTCATTTGTTATAACATATCCTGTAGGCCTGTGCAAATAGGGAAGTATTCAATTTGGATTTGGCCAATTCGGAGGACAGTGATTCGATTCGGAAATTCAGCCAAATTGGCTTTGGAAGATTTGGCGCTGATTCAGAGAGATTCAGGGATTCAGCCATAGACTATAATGAATCACTGAAATACTTATAACTTTGTCATTTTTTGTCAGATTTGGATGACAGCAGCAGGGATGGTAGCCCCTTCTTAGGGCATGAAGCCTGCCAAGGTTCAAGGAGATAGGTGCAGGGGTTTCTGGGAAACTGCACCTCAAGCTTCTGAAAGCAAAACTCATGACATGTGTGACTTTGTGTGTGAGTTAAGATGCAGCGGGGTGAAAACAGCATGGATGGTAGCGTGTAACAGGGGGCCTTCCCGGTGCTCAGCAGAGACAGCTCACAGAAGGGACAGAAAGGCTGCAGACCAAGGCTTATGTGCTGTTTTTATGTCCCTCCCCCAAAGCACTGTGATTGGAAGGGGACTCAAGGAAAGATCACAGTCACAGGCCAGCTATACATGTCAGTCTTTCCCCCCTCCCTGCTTCCTCTCCCTTTTCTCAGTTTCTGGTTCCTTACAAGACTGCCTTCTGAACTGCCGAATCTCCGAATCTTTTTCCAAATCTTTTCTGAATCAATTCGGAAGCTCCAAATCAATTCGGAGGGGGTTTTTTGTCTCCCGATTTGATTCAGATTTGGTGATTTGTCCTCCGAATTGGGCCAAATCTTCTCTGAATCGAATCAGCAACCAAAGCTTCGCACACCCCTAGTATCCTGCCCTGTTCAGCTGGTGGGTGACATCTTGCAGATGCATGAAAACAGTAACACTGAAAGGACAGAATTTAGAGTAGGACCAAAGGGCACCTATACACATGCAGGACGTCTGCTCTAACGCATGCTAATTAGCATTAATCTAGTCTGCTGCAATATATTAATTAATGCGCTCCAGCAGCCTCCACATCACATCTATTCAGTGTCCCCACACTTCAAAATGGCAGCAGGGGTGCTTTAACTAAAGCTCATTGACCAAGCTTTTGTTCAAACACCCCCGCCACTATTTTGAAGTGCGGGACACTGAATACATTTGACACTGCAGATGTTTTAATTAGCGCAGCTCTCTCCATTAATAAATAACAGTTCCAAGAGGTAGGGGGGCTTGCCTGAGATAATAGTGTGTCTGACTGGCATAGCAAAGAATAGAAGACAGAGTCTCAACTCTCAGTCCTGAGGTGAATCACACTGCTGTTTTATTTCCAAATGGTTTTCCCTGGATCTTTTGCATCAAGATAACAATACTGAAGCCATGGACAAATAGCCCTGACAGCCCTGGCAGAGCTGTTTACTGTGTAGAACTAAAGTCAATTCGCGTCAACGGCAGCTTTTCCACTGACTTCAGTGGCATTGAGGCAGACTTTCTCAGGCATTATTAGCCAAAATAAAGAAAAAAAGAGCACTTCAAGATAAATTTGAGCTGAGTTGTGCACCTAGTATTGCCCTGTTGTTTTTCGGCACAAGTTAAGCATCATAAATAATTGCATTCCTTTAACGATAAAGAAAATTAATTGAAATTGAAAATGTAGTAGGTGAGGTGCCCTGGAGAATACAGTGAATGACAGTATAATACCATATGCCTTCAGGATGCAGGAAGCCTCCTGAGGGTAAATATTGGCTCCCAAGTAGCCTGAGCAGCCCATTGTAGGTAGTTAAACCATCTGAACTACTGCTTATTCCTGAAGAACATCTCTCCATAACCCCTTAGTTCAGGGTGGCCAACCTGTAGCCTGAATGTCACAAGTGGCATGGGTCCTTCTATGTTACATGCAGCAGGCTGGGAAGTGGACAGGCAGCACAGTGGCAGATAGGCCAGGGAAGAGAAAGCAGAACGGCAGATCAGGCAAAGAACACAATGCAGAAAGCAGAAGGGAGGGAGCACAGAGCAGGGAGTAGCAAGCAAAGCTGCTGACTGGGCAGCGGAAGGAGATCAGAGTAGCATTCAGAATGTGTAGGGCTAATTTGTGGCATGCCTGCCCAAAAGGTTGGCCCCCACTGTTTTAGCTAAAGCACATCAATAATGCTTTGTCACATAAAACAACACAATGGATTCTGCTTTTATTATCTGTAGTATAAGGAGACCTCTATTCCTTCACGATGGCTATAATCCTTTACTACAGCAAACAAATATTTATTTTTAAATCATCACATTGCTTGTTTTGTTTTGTTCCAGGCAATAATGACAGCTTCTGCCTCTTGCCTTTCTTACATTTTGAGGAAGCTCCTTCACCATTACAGATCCCTGACCAGACTTATACAGCATTTATACACGTGCTCCAGCAGTAGGGAGAAAGGGGCGGGGGGGGAGGGGCTGGGGAGGGGGAATGCTTTAATTTGAGCGGCTCTGAGAGCTGCTCTAATTAAAGCATCTGGAACATCATGTGTATTACCATCCCCACACTGAAAAATGGTAGCAAGGGCCCTGTAATTAAAGCTCATTGAACAAGCTTTAGTTAAAGTGCTCCTGACACGATTTTTCAGTGAGGGGACACTGATACATGTGACACTGGAATCTGATAGAGTGCAGATTACAATACACTGGAGCAGCCTCGCTGCATGTGTATAAGTGCCCATAGGTTATTTGGACCTTTTCATTTCAAATACTGGGGTTTTTTTAATGTATTTGTCATTAGACAATGAAACAAATGATTATAATCTAAAAGATGAAGGCTTCCTGCTTTTAATGTGAAATCTAAGAGAAAAGAAAAAGCATGCAGTTAGTGAAGGTGGATGACACCAAGTTGCTTTGTATTAACATCACTAACACTTAATGATTCACACTTCAGACCAAGTCCTTCCATACCTCAAAGCATCACAGTAGTATCCAGGAAGACTGAGTACTTAAGACTGTCACACAGGCGCTTTGAATTTGTCTTAAGATATTCTGAACTCTGCTATTTTTGATCCCTAATTGGAACCTTGTTTTATATGCTGAAATTGTTTTAAAATACACACTGGTTAGGAACTATTTTATTTTTCACACTCTTCCTTCCTCTACACTGGGTGATATGAATCCCATATAAGATGAAAGCAAGAGTGGACCTGAAGGCCATGCTGCCTGATGGCCATTTGCTGGACTGTGCCAAATAAATTCCAGGTTCAGTCCAGTTCTTAATGGACCGAGGCCTCCAGCACAACTGACATAAACTGGCCTTCAGAACGGGCATCTTGACCAAAAAAGCCAAAGATTAAATGAGCCATAGATACTGGACCTCAGGGTGTCAGGAGGCATTTTAGCAGTGGCACCATGGAAGGAAAGAAAGGAGGGGAAGGCTGCCTCCTACTCCTAATTAGAAACAATATATTTTCATTTAAAGACAAAAAGGCCACCTTATTGATGCTTTTCAAAAATGCAGTGTTGCCACTATGCAATCTTTCCATTTCTTAGCTGTCAATGAGGAGAAGAGTTAGCTCAGATGTGTGATACACTCAATAGTAGTCTTGTCATTATTGTAATCCATACCGAACCTCTGATTCACCTTGCTAAACCCCCATGATGATGACGCAGCTGCGTTGACACTTGGTACTTCACATCACCTGCTCCCGCCTCCGTTTCAGGCCCACTGCTCTCGCGGCAAGGAAGAAGGCTGCCCCGGTGACTACCTCTGCAATGAAGGAGATCCACACAAGCACCAAAGACCAACCAAACCTGATGTCAAGTTCCAGTAAGAGATTCTTCTTCCCCAGAAGGCAGGTGGCTTCCTTGAAGGCAGCAGCTGAGTATGCAATGTAGATGCTGATCCCAGTAAGTGTCACAAGGGCTACAGAGAACACAAGTATTTATGCAGGTTGAGTCCACTATATCTTAATCAAAAATGCTTGGTAATGGGTCTCCTGGATCAACTTTGCCACCTTTCCCTACTAATGTACACAGGATTCTCACTCTGCCCTATGGTTCAAGTCTCTAGTTCTGTTTTTTTCCTAGAATTACTTAATATATTGTGATCTACTTCCTAAGGAATGAATCAAAATAAGTAATGGCAAGCTTTCTGCAATGAATACCTGATAATCCACTTTCTGGATAACAGAGGCACGTATATTACATTTTCCAATCTTGCATTATATAACATCATGATTTTCAAGCTGAGATGCTCACACCCCCAGGAGTATGCTGTACTTTGCCAAGGATATGTTTCTAAATTTAATAATGGTAGTGGGGCTTCTGATAAATCAATGCATGGTTAGTAATGGCACTGCCGCATGTTAATGTCTACGTTGATAGACTTCCTAAAGAATGTCAGGTGTAGGGGATATGAATATCCAGCTCTGTTTTGCAGCTAAAGATGTACATTTGACATTACACCTAAGAAAGCACTTGTAGCAACTTCCCTGGAAATAATGTTAAGAAAGAAGAGGGGGTTAGGAGATGTAATAAGATCTGGTCTCAGGATCATAATGGAGGTTATTAAATGAACTGAGAGATTTATTTTGTAAATTTTGCTAGATGTGTTTGATAGTCAGACCCAACAATGAGCAGTGCCATAAAGACAGAGCTGGAGATAGATATGCCTAGATTAGCATGTTAGAACTCATATAAAGTGTGTCAGACAATCCTCCATTGTTCATCTAACTTTCTCCCACTGAGGGTCTTAAATTGATCAGTTCATTTTAAGTACTGGTTTTCTGGCCTTTGCATAGTAATGCAGGTGTTATGCTTATTTGTCCTGATGTACGGTAAGAGGACCCTGAGCAGAGGCAGAAATACTCCTGCTAACTCACTGTGCTAGCCAGATTGTAGTGACCTATTTGCTTAATCCTTTTAGCACAAATGTAAGCCCCTTCCTGTTTTACACCCTCCTTTCTACATGTGCGAGCATGGGAGCTGGATCAAAGGGCAGGAACTCCATATATGACCATGAGAATTTTTCTATTTATCACTATGTCAGTCATGAAAGTACAAGTTCCTTTTGGCAGAATTCACCTATGCTGTTGGGCAAAACCGAGATC